TCTCTCTCTCTCTCTGTGTGTGTGTGTGTGTGTGTGTGCTCACCCCACCCCCTTGGTTGCAGGTAACTTTACCCGTCACCTGCATAGAACTGCCTGTCGGCTCTACCCTGTGTGACCAGCTTCTGCTTTGGTGACTGTCACCGTGCCCATCGAACCAAGAACCTGTGCTGTGTTCCAGCTTCTGCGACACAGCGAGCAAGCACGTCCTATTTTCCCGTTTGGGCCGTAACAGCCAGCAAGCACGTCCTATTTTCCCGTTTGGGCCGTAACAGCCAGCAAACATCCGCTACTTTCTTGTTCGGCCATATGGACACCGAGAAGGACGAGAACAGAAAATCTGCAAGCTACAGTGATACTCGTTTCTGGCGAACCTCTCCCGCGTTCCAGCTTGTGCGACATGTGTTTCAGTGTGTGCGACCACTGTTCCAGCTAGTGCAGGAACCCAGAAGAACCTCTCCTGTGTTCCAGCGCGTGTGACAGACTCAGGAGCATTCCTGAGTGTGGTCAAGTTCAGAACACACGAAGAGGGTGGGTGCCCAATGTTTCCGATTGGGCTATACACACAACGAAGCCTCTCGTGCGCCTCAGTGCAAAAGTGAGAAAACATCAGTCCAACCTAGAGCGGAACTGAGGAGCCCTACCAAACATATCCTCCCTCCTCCTCTGCCGCCTCCTTCCTCGAGTCCTCCAGGACCTACCCTCAGTCTATACCTCTTCCTAGCACGGGGCCGCCACGGCGGCTGCATAACWTCCGACACGTCCGCCTCCGTCTCAGAAGGCAAATGTGTACCYGACTTTCGGTACTAMCCTGCAGCTTCGGCGGCTGGGTTGGGAAAGGAGGTGGGTAGGCGGGGACCAGCCAAAGAGTGAAAAGGCAAAAAGTCCTTGGGGACATCGGCGTACGCACGAGCCGATGTCCCCAAGGACTTTTGCCTTTTCGCATTCAGCGCACCCGCCGAGCGCTAACGCACCGACAACACGATTTCGCGCCTGGGTGCGCTAAGGTTCCCATCGCTACGGAACTACGGGAATTTTTTTAATTTTATTTTATTTTATTTTTTTGTTTGTGTGTGTGTGGTCCTATGGACCACGATCAGATATTAAGCTGATCAGAACAGATACTACACTTGATCTTAGCCTGAAGGCCGAGAAAGGTATGCTACGGGAAATTTTGAACGTCCTTGTGYGGCGGCTTACGTTTCTGTGGCTATGGTACATGATGTGCAATTGCGTCTCTGCACTTGGGGCCTCGCCACACGACTGTCCAACCGAAAAAAGAACGTATGCATCTTCCACAGGAATTAGTCAGATGCATCCGTTTGCCATTCATAGTAACGAAAATTCATCTCGCCATCGTCTGCGGGAAGATGCACTCTTTCTCTTTTTTCTTCCCACAATGGTGTGGCGAGGCACTTAGTGACCGCCCTGTTCGGCGTTTGTTATCATGTTCGTCTGATTCCATCTGGATTCGAACTCGGGCTGTAGAAAAAATCAATCGGCTGGGTGTTTTACCATCTTCCCGATCTTGCAAATATACCACTCCCTTCATGGTTGTTTGCTAGATGGAGTCGTGATATCTCAATATGAGTCTGGCCGTATAATATCAACCTTGAGAGAACAGCCCCTCACTCGGCTGCAAAACAGCTGGCTGCAGTAACTCTGTGGAAGGTTGATGGTGCGCTTGTGACATACCAGCTTCTGTACCCAAACCATCTTCTGAAGCCCTGAGTTTTGATGTTCCTACTCTTTGGATCTCTCTTGTGCTTTTGGGGTACCCCTCTTTTTGCTATCACCTTAATGCATGGAATTGCAGACCAACCAGGCCCTCTCACGTCTAAGACGGTGTTCTTTTTGTCAGACTTCTTTGCAATTTCTTTTCGGCAATCCATGCAACTACGTAGAAATTACGCGCGCCTTAGCGAGCGCGCCAAGAATTTTGTTCGCCAGTTGGGAACTCCGGAAATTGTGGGCGCTCCTCCCGCTGATGTGTACTCTCTTGCAAGTGGATGTTCCCGCACTCACCCTTGAAAGCTTTGTGAATTTTTAGGAGGAAGCTAGATAGACGTAGGATTTTTGCACGCTCACTGATATTGCTTTTGAATGGACCCGGTTTCCAGCAGGTGCAGCTCCCCACCAATAGATGGAGCCGTAAGGGTTAACTTAAAAAAAAAAAAAATAATAATAATAATAATAATAATAATAAATTGCTTTTGAAATTTTCAATCTTGAATTAGTTTTAGGACTAGGATGAACGAACCATAACTGTTTCGGTGCCCTTTTCTTTTCTGCGCCGGCACCATGTACGCAAGCTTCCCCCGCCTCCCACTATGACCCATGCCATCTTCACCCTCTCTTCTTCACGCCTTCTCTCTTTTACCCATAACTGTTTTCCATTCCCCCCTCTCTCTTCATGCTTCTCCCCTTCCCCTCTCGTTCGAATCTTGGTCTTGCGTCACGCTACTCTCTGCGCACTCTTTCTTCCCTCCTTCACCCCGAGTCAGGAACTCCCTATCAATCCCCTCCCCAGAGTACTCGAAGCCTCAGATGACAGTGTGTAAGAGGGATGCTCCTCGCGCACTGTAATCTGTTTGGCTGCGAAAGACTCGCGAGGATCGATATGGTTTCCCTTATGCAATTGACCTGTACTCTCTCTTTGCACCCTCCTATCTCCGCCCCACTCTTCCCCATCTTCCCTTCCCCTCTTCGCAACTATAAAACCCACAAGCACGTCTGAAAAACTCTCTCTCAACCCATCTGCCAGCTTCAGGGAAGTCGTGGCTAGGTGATGTCTAGGCAGCGAGTCGAAAAGTCCTAACGGGCTGACTGCAGTATATGCAAGGCTGTGCGGCGGGTGGCCGCGACGAACTGTGGGATTTGGCAAGTCGATGCAAACGCTGAGTTGGCGGGGTGATGATCGCTGTAGTATGGAGGTTGGTATGTGGCGGTCGAGATCGTCAGTCCCTGAGTAAGAAGGGTGTGTAAGTACGAGTGGTTGCATGGCCAGGGGCCATTATCAGAGAGGAGAAGGCCGGTGCGCCTTGATTTTCGATTTTTTTTCTTCTGGTTTTTGAAAGCGAAGTCCACGGCGGATAACAGGTTGTTGTCCCCCTCAAGCTTGTTTGTATGATCAGAGTGCCCTCTCTCTTTTTCTTAGTCCTCTTCTTTAGCCAAAGCTATGATCCCATCCTTGTTACACCTCTCTCTCATTWACGACCATTTCGTCAAAATGGACATTTTTWATTTTTTGAACGAAATTGAAACCGAGTTTTTTGGYCGAAAACTCGTCAAAATTTGTTGTTCCT